TTCTAAGGCGAGGCCCGATCTGAGGGTCGTGCTTCAGTCTAGGAAGCCCTCGACGAAGTGGTCCTGACATTTTTAAGCCCAGGACTGCTGAGGGTGGCCCCTACTGGGGAAGAGCGGGGTGCACCAAATTATACGGTGTCCGTCTCTCCTCAGCGTCCTCAGGAGATCGTTTTGCCAACCCTGCCAGTGTTCCAGGGCGCAGCGGTCTCCAGCGAGTGTTTCTCTCAGTATTTAGAAAACATTAGAAAACCGTAGCGGAGCTGAGAGCCTCGCCACCCCTTCGGGGGTCTCTCGAGCAGCTAGTTCGGCCGTCTCCTGCCGGTCCTCCGCTTCAGGGCATCCAGCTAGCAGCTCCAAAAACACAGTCTCGAGAGACTGGTTCCCTTAGTAGATTATTTAGCAGCGTGGAAACTACTGCCAAATGTATCTCGTTGGGTCCTGCAAACTGTAGAAAGAGGCTATCGCATTTATTTCGGCGCTCCGCCGCCACCTTTCAAAGGGGTATTCCTCACATTAGTGGGCCCCGAGCAGGCTCTGGTATTAGAACAAGAAGTGAATACTCTCTTGAGGTAGGAGGCCATCGAGGTGGTCCCTCCTCTCGACAGAGAGTCCAGGTTCTACAGCCGGTACTTCATCGTCCAATTTTAGATCTGCGGCTATTGAACCACTCAGTCATGCGTCTGAAGTTCAAAATGCTCACTGTCAAACAGGTCGTGTCTCAGATCAGGTCCGAGGACTGGTTTGTCACTATAGATCTAAAAGATGCTTATTTCCATGTCTCCATCCTTCCCAGTCACAGGAAGTTCCTGAGGTTTGCTTTCAGGGGCAAAGCTTACCAATGTCGGGTGCTTCCCTTCGGCCTAGCACTCTCACCCCATACTTTCACAAAGTGTGTGGATGCTGCTCTGGCTCCTCTGTGACTCCAGGGCGTCCGCATACTCAATTACATCGACGATCGGTTGATTTTAGCTCAATCAGAGCAGATGGCGGTTCAGCATCGAGATGTCGTTCTCGCTCATATGAAAGAGTTGGGGTTAAGACTAAACGCCAAGAAAAGTGTGCTTTCTTCATTACAGAGGACCACTTATCTGGGCGTGGTGTGGGATTCGACCACGATGCAGGCACGTTTGTCTCCTGCTCGGATCGAGTCGATCTTCACTGCAGTCGCGAGAGTCAGAGAAGGCTGGTCACTCACTGTGAAACAGTTTCAAAAGCTGCTGGGTCTGATGGCAGCTGCGTCCAACGTGATAACTCTTGGCCTGCTGAACATTAGACCCTTACAGTGGTGGCTCAAGACCAAGGGGTTCTCCCCGAGGGGAAACCCGCTTCGCATGATCAAGGTCACGTGGCGATGCCTACGTGCCTTAGACATGTGGAGGAAACCTTGGTTCTTGTCTCAGGGCCCGGTGCTGGGCGCTCCTTGTCGGCGCGTAACGCTAGCGACGGACGCGTCCCTCACCAGTTGGAGAGCGGTCATGAGTGGCCACCCTGCCCGCGGTCTGTGGAGTGGTCGCCATCTCACGTGGCACATCAACTGCCTGGAGATGCTGGCCGTGTTTCAAGCCCTCAAACACTTTCTTCCAGACCTAAGAGATCGCCATGTGTTTGTGCGCACCGACAACACAGTGGTGGTCTTTTATATCAACCACCAGGGAGGTCTACGTTCGCGCCCCTTATACAAGCTGGCGCACCAGATACTTGTGTGGTCCCAGGGCAAACTCCTCTCGCTGAGAGCAGTTCATATTCCTGGGCATCCTGAGCAGACATCCTGTCGAGGCAGGGGCCGAGGCCCAGGGAATGGATGCTTCATCCCGAGGTGGTGAAGCAGATATGGAGAGTTTTTGGCCAGGCTCAGGTGGACTTGTTTGCGACTTGTCAGACATCGCAATGTCCCTTCTGGTTCTCTCTGACTCATCCAGCTCCACTGGGGCTGGATGCTACGGTACAGAATTGGCCGAGGCTTTGTGTGTACGCCTTTCCCCCGATGCATACGTCCACAGAGCTGCCCTGTGGAGAAAGGCGGACCAACTGCTTGTGTGCTATGGTCCCCCTAAGAGAGGTCATCCTGCTTCCAAGCAGACCCTCAGCCGGTGGATAGTGAATGCCATTACTGTTGCCTATGAGTCCTCTGATCTCCCCTCACCATTGGGGGTCAAGGCTCACTCAACAAGAAGTGTGGCGGCCTCCAAGGCCTTTCTGGCAGGTGTTCCTATGCAGGACATCTGCGACGCTGTGGGATGGTCTATGCCCCTCACATTCGTCAGGTTCTATGACCTAGATTTGCGAGCCACTCCAGGCCCCTCTGTTCTCTTGCCATAGCTGTGCTCTTCCACACTAGGCAGGGATTTGCAAGTCTGGCGGTGTGGACATCTCGTTCCCCTAGCGTTTTCCAACGTAGCTCGAGTTCCCGAAGGGGAACGTCCCAGGTTACATATGTAACCATGGTCCCCCGAGGGAACGAGACGCTGCGTCGCAAGTCCATACTTCCGACATCCCTACTAAAGCTTGCATCACTCCTAGAAGCTAACGTCGGCTGCACCTCACGTGCTTTTAAAGCTTCCTGGTCATGACGTCACCTGCCTCTGACGTCTCGCCCATCGATTGGACTGATTACACATATGATTCAGAGCTTGGTATCACTGAAGGCGTTCCCCTAGCGTTTTCCGACGCAGCGTCTCGTTCCCTCGGGGAACCATGATTACATACGTAACCTGGGACGTTTTCATACCACAATCCCAATGGCTGCTCAGGTCTCCAAAAAGATAACTCAAAACAAAAATGACAAAAACTGAAATATAATATACCATTTATTGCTTCATATATTCAATACATCATGGATTTTTGTAACCCTTTCTGTATCATACTTATTCATAAATATATTTTAAAAGAAATCGTAACAATAAAAATTTTTCATAAAGAGACAGATATTCACAAAATTGTAAAATTACACTGAGAAAAGTAAAACTTAACAGAAATGTAACCATGAGACAAACATAATCAAAAGTGAATAACTGTTTCATTTAAGCAGACTTTACTTAAATGAGATTCCCAAAATGCTCTTGGAATGATATGTGCATTTTCACCAGATCAAGAAGGAGCTAATTTGACACATTCAACTGATTCAATTCATGTAATACTTATACACAGAGCACACACAAAAAAACAGTCTTTATTTAATAATAATCACAAACACATAAAACCATGGCGTTATATTCCATGAGGTAAACACTTCAGGCATAGCAAACAAATACACACTGTATGTATCTGCACATATGTGATTGTCATATGCAATAAATCTAAGAATCTGCTAAATAATCCTGTCAATTCCAAGTAACAAGAGTCACTTCTACTATATAGAGTAATCCAGATCGATTTCTACCAGATACAGATGAATAGTGATGCAATACTTAAAACTGAACAACAGAGTTTGCAACATCTGGAGAGCATAAAGCATGTTCAGACCGTTTTCTCATGCATTGCGTGTGCAGCCTCAGGTTAAGCCATTCAGATGTATCGAGCTTTGTATGACTGGACAGGCTTATACAAAGCTGGCTAAATGACTGAATGACGTCGAAGTTCGGTAGTGCAAAGCAACCCCGCTTTTAGGACCCAGGAGAGACTGAGGATGGGGTGACCCGTTAAGATCCTGCCGCTCAAGCTTTATGTACAACATCAGAGGTCTATCACCCCCTACTTTAAATTCACCATCACAAAAAACCCAGCGCTAGTCACATTCAGGACAAATCCACTGAGTTACTTTATAACAAAAAATACTCTTACCTCTAAAGATCCCCTTAACTGAACTGCAGTTGGCCTTTCAAGCCTATTTTATAAGGTTGAAGTGCCAATCATCTAGTACCACCCCTTGGGAGGAGCCCTAGAGAACACGGCATACTCCATCCCCCTTCGTCTATCCCAGCCTCTAGCCTGCGGCCCTGTGGCCCACGCCCAAGACAGACGGCGGCCGGAAGGGTGTCTGTTCCATACCTTTAATGTGTTGTGTGAGTTGATGCTGCGGCGCCGCCCTTCTTCCAGCTGCATCTCCGAGTACAGCTCCTCCTCAGTTTCAAAAGCTGCTGGGTCTGATGGCAGCTGCGTCCAACGTGATAACTCTTGGCCTGCTGAACATTAGACCCTTACAGTGGTGGCTCAAGACCAAGGGGTTCTCCCCGAGGGGAAACCCGCTTCGCATGATCAAGGTCACGTGGCGATGCCTACGTGCCTTAGACATGTGGAGGAAACCTTGGTTCTTGTCTCAGGGCCCGGTGCTGGGCGCTCCTTGTCGGCGCGTAACGCTAGCGACGGACGCGTCCCTCACCAGTTGGAGAGCGGTCATGAGTGGCCACCCTGCCCGCGGTCTGTGGAGTGGTCGCCATCTCACGTGGCACATCAACTGCCTGGAGATGCTGGCCGTGTTTCAAGCCCTCAAACACTTTCTTCCAGACCTAAGAGATCGCCATGTGTTTGTGCGCACCGACAACACAGTGGTGGTCTTTTATATCAACCACCAGGGAGGTCTACGTTCGCGCCCCTTATACAAGCTGGCGCACCAGATACTTGTGTGGTCCCAGGGCAAACTCCTCTCGCTGAGAGCAGTTCATATTCCTGGGCATCCTGAGCAGACATCCTGTCGAGGCAGGGGCCGAGGCCCAGGGAATGGATACTTCATCCCGAGGTGGTGAAGCAGATATGGAGAGTTTTTGGCCAGGCTCAGGTGGACTTGTTTGCGACTTGTCAGACATCGCAATGTCCCTTCTGGTTCTCTCTGACTCATCCAGCTCCACTGGGGCTGGATGCTACGGTACAGAATTGGCCGAGGCTTTGTGTGTACGCCTTTCCCCCGATGCATACGTCCACAGAGCTGCCCTGTGGAGAAAGGCGGACCAACTGCTTGTGTGCTATGGTCCCCCTAAGAGAGGTCATCCTGCTTCCAAGCAGACCCTCAGCCGGTGGATAGTGAATGCCATTACTGTTGCCTATGAGTCCTCTGATCTCCCCTCACCATTGGGGGTCAAGGCTCACTCAACAAGAAGTGTGGCGGCCTCCAAGGCCTTTCTGGCAGGTGTTCCTATGCAGGACATCTGCGACGCTGTGGGATGGTCTATGCCCCTCACATTCGTCAGGTTCTATGACCTAGATTTGCGAGCCACTCCAGGCCCCTCTGTTCTCTTGCCATAGCTGTGCTCTTCCACACTAGGCAGGGATTTGCAAGTCTGGCGGTGTGGACATCTCGTTCCCCTAGCGTTTTCCAACGTAGCTCGAGTTCCCGAAGGGGAACGTCCCAGGTTACATATGTAACCATGGTCCCCCGAGGGAACGAGACGCTGCGTCGCAAGTCCATACTTCCGACATCCCTACTAAAGCTTGCATCACTCCTAGAAGCTAACGTCGGCTGCACCTCACGTGCTTTTAAAGCTTCCTGGTCATGACGTCACCTGCCTCTGACGTCTCGCCCATCGATTGGACTGATTACACATATGATTCAGAGCTTGGTATCACTGAAGGCGTTCCCCTAGCGTTTTCCGACGCAGCGTCTCGTTCCCTCGGGGAACCATGATTACATACGTAACCTGGGACGTTTTCATACTACAATCCCAATGGCTGCTCAGGTCTCCAAAAAGATAACTCAAAACAAAAATGACAAAAACTGAAATATAATATACCATTTATTGCTTCATATATTCAATACATCATGGATTTTTGTAACCCTTTCTGTATCATACTTATTCATAAATATATTTTAAAAGAAATCGTAACAATAAAAATTTTTCATAAAGAGACAGATATTCACAAAATTGTAAAATTACACTGAGAAAAGTAAAACTTAACAGAAATGTAACCATGAGACAAACATAATCAAAAGTGAATAACTGTTTCATTTAAGCAGACTTTACTTAAATGAGATTCCCAAAATGCTCTTGGAATGATATGTGCATTTTCACCAGATCAAGAAGGAGCTAATTTGACACATTCAACTGATTCAATTCATGTAATACTTATACACAGAGCACACACAAAAAAACAGTCTTTATTTAATAATAATCACAAACACATAAAACCATGGCGTTATATTCCATGAGGTAAACACTTCAGGCATAGCAAACAAATACACACTGTATGTATCTGCACATATGTGATTGTCATATGCAATAAATCTAAGAATCTGCTAAATAATCCTGTCAATTCCAAGTAACAAGAGTCACTTCTACTATATAGAGTAATCCAGATCGATTTCTACCAGATACAGATGAATAGTGATGCAATACTTAAAACTGAACAACAGAGTTTGCAACATCTGGAGAGCATAAAGCATGTTCAGACCGTTTTCTCATGCATTGCGTGTGCAGCCTCAGGTTAAGCCATTCAGATGTATCGAGCTTTGTATGACTGGACAGGCTTATACAAAGCTGGCTAAATGACTGAATGACGTCGAAGTTCGGTAGTGCAAAGCAACCCCGCTTTTAGGACCCAGGAGAGACTGAGGATGGGGTGACCCGTTAAGATCCTGCCGCTCAAGCTTTATGTACAACATCAGAGGTCTATCACCCCCTACTTTAAATTCACCATCACAAAAAACCCAGCGCTAGTCACATTCAGGACAAATCCACTGAGTTACTTTATAACAAAAAATACTCTTACCTCTAAAGATCCCCTTAACTGAACTGCAGTTGGCCTTTCAAGCCTATTTTATAAGGTTGAAGTGCCAATCATCTAGTACCACCCCTTGGGAGGAGCCCTAGAGAACACGGCATACTCCATCCCCCTTCGTCTATCCCAGCCTCTAGCCTGCGGCCCTGTGGCCCACGCCCAAGACAGACGGCGGCCGGAAGGGTGTCTGTTCCATACCTTTAATGTGTTGTGTGAGTTGATGCTGCGGCGCCGCCCTTCTTCCAGCTGCATCTCCGAGTACAGCTCCTCCTCATCCTCCTCCATGATGTCAGACAGATCGGAGCCCCGACTGCTCTCGGTGTAGTACTCCTCACTGTGGCTATAGTGATGATGCTGGAGGTACAGACATGGAAATCTTCATGATTTAACACTCCAGGAAGAAATCTTCAAAACTCAACCGAAATTTTACTTAGTTACACTCTAATGTTTTCTAATGTTTCTGGTTCCTAATTTGGCTCATCAGTACTTCGCTCTTGTCTTTGTTTTGTTATTTGTATAGTTTGGATGCGTTGCTTGTTTTCCTTGGATTTTGAATTTAAATATATTAATTTGCATAGTCTTGCTATTTTATTATTAACAGCACAAAAAACACTGGATGATAAAAGTAAAAAATAAAAAGAAAATAAAGAAAATAAATAAATAAATAATCATAAGGAGGCCCCAAGAATAATTTAGGCCCATATTTGGAGGCTTATTTGGCCCACATGTAAAAATTAATGAATGTCACATTTTAGCTCATATTTTATACTTGCCCTGACAATATTTTTATTTGCCAGATTAGTAAATACATATAAATACACACACACACACACACACACACACACACACACACACACAAACATAGCAATATTTCTTTGTGATTTCTTTCGCCATTCTTTTGTCATCTTGTGATTTCTTTGTCATTTGTAGCAATATTTATTTGTGTCAGAAAAAATGTTTATGAAAGTAATGAAAACATTTTTCATTACTTTATGTTAACATTAAGTTGCAAAGCATAGTTAGAACCAACAATTTGACATATATAAGAACATTTAAAAATTAGTCCACCCCATCAGCTATATATTTTTTTCAACATTTTAGGACATACAGATATTGGCCTGGCATTTCAACAGTGTTAACTTACTAATTCTATATAATATCAACATAATAATATGAGTATAATGCAATTCAATATAATATAATGTCATGCTTGGAATGCACATTCTGTATTTTGTAAAGCATAAATAAACAGAAATGTCCATTACTTGTGTTGGAAAAGTTACACAACGTGTGTTCTCGTGTTGTGTCAGCTGATCCAAAACTCCCTTAAAAAGTTTTCTTGTGCAGTACAAAAAGATTGCTGTTTTTCAGACTCACGTGTCTGCCCAGCTCAGAACCTCTGAGAAACTCGTCCACAGAAGCTCCTCTTCGCCTGGCGTGAGGCGAATCGTACCCGTCCTCCTCCTCGTCTGAGTTTAATGAATGCAGAGTGTTACCTCTCTCACTAAAGATGTTCCTCCTCTCCACCTGAAACAGTGCATGCGCATGGATATTCTGTCATGCTGCTTAAAAGCATTCCAGCAACCATCTTGATCATCATCTTCCTCATTTAACCCAACAAACCAGTGGACTCACCCTGCTATTCGGGGCGCTCCTCTGCGCCACCTGGCGGGCCATAGCACGAGCCACTGTGTTGGGAATGGGCACTCCCTGAGGTTGAGGCAAGATCCTCTGAGGGGAGGGTGAGCGTCGGCCCTCTACGTGAGGGGGCTCCAGTGTGTGTCCCGGGTGCGGTAGGGGTGACGGAGCCCGGGGATGTGGCTCCCAGGGCTGTCCCATTCGCCTGCCCATCTCTGGCTCTTTGGCATGGGGGTCTCTGGCACTTGGTAGGCGTTTGGGTTTAGACATGGGGTACGGGGAGGGCGATGGGTGGGCGTGGGGGTGCGAGGGTGGTGGATGAGGGTGGGATGGCGGGACGGAATGGGGCTGGACATGCGGTTGTGGATGGGTTGGGGGGTAGGCTTGTGGGTAGGGAGGCGGGTGAGGGGGGTGTCCGTGGGGGTGAGGCACCAGGAGGTTGTGCGGAATGGCGGCCACTGGAGAGTCCTGTGACTCTCCTTGTGCTGATATTGTCCTCACGACGACCTCCCGCGCTTCCAGACACTGGATACGGTTCAGTTCCACCGTAACGAAATCTGCTGTGGGGTACATTATCTCTGCTATCTGAAAACAAACAAACAAAAGAAATATGGGATAAACAAATGTGCCCTAGCAAGGATAAACAATGAGTGTTTTCCGCTGATATAATCAGGCAGTTATTCAGATTTGTACTTGACCTGTTATTTTTATTTTATTTGATATTTTCATTAGCCCCATCATAAAAATGATAAAATTTATTTTTAGCAATACATTTTGTGTTCAAAATAAATACATTCAATATATGTTTAATTAAAATAAATAAATAAATAAAAATATTAAATACATCATTGATAATTTTAAAGGTGTTAGAAATAAATACATTATATACTTTTAACTTTAAAAATAATTATAAATATATAATACAAATAATTTACAAGTACATACATGCAATAATGAACAGTATTTTATTTGCAATAACAGCTGGAAATTACACAGCTATAGTTTAATTCTGTGACAGCAATAAATTCATAAACACACTTTTGTTAGAAAACAGCAGCATATGGGGATTTGTTTATCATTTTAAGCTACCATTACATATGATATTTGTAAGAGTATAACAAGTAATTCTCACATTTTTGAAAAATGTTAGACAGCTAGATGCTTAATGCATCATAGAACACCAAATGTTTAAGCTTGCCAGGCACAAAAACACATTAGATTATGAATGTAAAACAAAGTGACGAAAATTCCTGACACTGGTCCTGGACCATCTAGACATACTTATTGTCAAGATCAACATCATAAGATCTTAAAGGGGTCATATGATGCAATTTCAAGTTTTCCTTTCTCTTTGGAGTGTTACAAGCTGATTGTGCATAGATAAGATCCCTGAAGTTGCAAAGACTAAAGTCTCAAACCCAAAGAGATATTCTTTATCAAAGTTAAGACTCTGCCACGCCCCCCTAAAATGGCTCGTTCTAACATGCCCCCACATATCTACCTCACTATGTGGCAATATTAGTACATGTCAACATATTCTGTTATACCAAATACACAAAATAATGATCTTTAAAAAAGCATCATATGACCCCTTTAAACCTACTGGTACATGAAAAACATCTCAGAAATAAAATACATTTGTATATATGATACATAAATAACAGTACTGTTTGTTTTTTTGTCTCACAAAATGAGGTCAACATTATTTCCAAATATATTTTTGTCAGATTATCAAAAAATGACTTACATAAACCCCTGCATTATATAACACAGGGAAAACATTGGCCATGCAATGACACAAGCGATCACCTGATGGCGCCAGTGAGCAGAATAAAACAAAAACGTGAACTAGTATAACATGTTTAACCTCCTAACTGATCTTAGACCTTTCATTGGCTTCATTAGCAGGGCCCACTGCTTATTGCAAATCAGTAGCTGTTATGCACAAAGGGCATGATGATAGTAAGAATCGGCAACATCGCTTCACCTTTTGACCTTTAGTGCAGACTATGTATCCGATTACATTGGCTCCATTGGAAGTGCCGGTAGAAGTGAGGGGAGGAGGCTTCCAACGGATCTGCAAGACTCCTGGTGTCTGTCCTATCTGAACCTGAACATCCTGAGGAGGTAAAGGAGGACCTGAAACAAAAAAAAAGAGTTGCTTTGTGAGTTTGTTACACTGTATCATGATTCAAGAAAATGCGTGTAGGTCTGCTGTTGTGTTTGTAGGAGGGCTGTGACATGCATTCTGTTTTCAGAAACACGTGCACGCTTGTGCATGAAAATATGATGTATGTGCAATGGGCATGTAACTGTGCATGTGGGTGTGTGTGCATGCACTTTACAGCCGTAAGGGACGCCAGCTGGGCATAGATTATCACAGTGTATTTGCTTATGTCAGCACTCTGAATTTATGAGGGCTGATTCGTCTTAATCATACTGAGTGTTCTATGTGGCTGCCAGCAATGGACCGCACCATCTCAGAACCTAAAACACACAATGCTCTGTTCTCATTTCAGCTGTTTAGCATAATAGTACAGAGCAGGCATCATTCACCTCATCTCTTGCTTTGTTTTAATTCAAAACATTTAAATGTGTTGTAACCAGTTACCAGATGGCGTTTTTTAGGCCTGGGTATCTATATAAATTTTGAATTAATTCTGATTCACTCAAAATTTGTTTCGATCTGATTCTAATTTGGATTCAATTCCAATTCATTTGCATAGATTTCAGTTACAATGTCCATTTTGTTTACATATTCTGCCATACAGAAAGACATTTTCTCTTTGCTAATGCTATAAATTACACAGAGCAGTGTTTCAGACTTATTCCGATCAGTAACTTGTCAGAACAAAATGACATAAGTCATTCATTTTGGGAATCGGTATAAACTATACATATCACACTGCTTGTTTTTGATTCACTAAAAAAAACTGCTCATAAGAGTCATTTGCTCATGAATCTGGCTACTCTAAGTTTTTGATTCACTAAAATGTATTGGATCATAAGAGTCATTTGTTTCAGGTACTCTGGTTGCAATATACAGTAAGTCTTTGATTTGCTAAACAGTACTGGTTCATAAAAATCATTAGTATCTTGTTTATGCATGCAGCGAAGACCATGAGAACCAGATGCCTTGTGCACAGAGAACCAGATGTCTTGTGCACAGACCCTATGGCCAGCTTCGAATCTCGTCACCAAACTTGGGCATAATGTATCCCGATCTTCAAGGAGAAGGAGCTGTATTGATATTCTTGACAAAAAATATCATTCCACAATCTTGTGGTGCAGCCACACCATGTTGGTTCATCTGAACAGAGGAGAACTGGCCCTCCAACTAAGCCTGGTTTCTCCCAAGGTTTTTACACCATTTCTGTCACTGATGGAGTTTGGGTTCTTTGCCACTGTCTCCCTTTTGGCTTGCTTAGTTGGGGACACTTAATATTTGGCAATATTATTGACTTGACTGCACAGACTCTATTGGATGAAAACTGAACTGAGCTGATTGATGACATCACACTTTTATGGATTAAACTCATGCCATAACTAATGGACTTTACACAGCTATTGAAACCAAACTCACACACAAAGCTATTATTTATTAAAAAAAAAAAAAATTTTGAACAGCATTTAATTGTGTTTGAGAGATGCCATCACATGTCTTGTATACTAAAACACTAATTAATACATAATGTATACTGTTTCCAAGTGACAAGCGCTCAGTCCAACAATCAATTAAGACAAGCCATTCTGATGTCAGAAAGCAGGTAGTCCTGTAACAGGTTTGAACTCTTCGATGGATCACACTAATGCACACTGATCACTACTCTGCCCACCACATAACAGATCATCGGGGGAGCGCTTAATCAATGGCCACCCCTCACTGATCAGAGCCCAAGGGCTGCTCGGGGTGCTGATCTGTCCAGAGACGTCAGGGGCATGACTGTGTGCCTTTGGAAAGACAGTGGAGCTAAAAGTGGATCATGTAATTTGTGAAGTTGATCCAGATGAACTGGATCAATGCTCTGTAATTGAAAACAGCTCAAAGGCTGTCTTTATCTGATCAGGCCTTCATTTGAGGCCGGCGCTGCATGGGTAAATGCCTGCAGATGGGTGTCACGTAATAAAAGCCTGCACTGTTAGTCCGCAGGGAGGCCCGCTGATGGGCTTACATTGCCCTGTACGTATAACACAGTCTGTAGGAGGGGAACACAATGTGAGCTAGACTAGACCGAGGGTTCATTTATCTCAAGATGTCAAGATGTCCTGAGGCATGCACTCCACTGTGCTGGAAATTCGATAATCTGCGAGCAGGACCGTTCCATCAGGAGTGGCCTTCCCTATCAATTAAAATTATCAATTGAAAAAAAAAATAGATCAGCCAAAGGCATTGTGGGAGAAAAAAACATTCCTGTTAACACATGCATGACTTCCATTTCTTTTCATCCTTTAAAAAAAAAAAGCAAGTTGGGTGCACAAAGCCACGGATGTTGCATCTGATATATCGCTTTCCAGCTAAACTGGGTTGAATTGTTTTTCACACATTACTTTTAAGTTTCATTAAAGGTAGCATGTTGTAAAATTACAATTTATAAAATTAAATGACACAATTATAAAATGTATTAACTTCATAAGGTAAATCATACTATTCTGATTGCGCTGTATGGATTTGATTCAACAAAAAGAATGACTAATTTACTGGGGAATCTGGCTACTCTGGTCGCACTGTACTGTATGTTTTGATTCGCAAAAATGAAATGACTCATAAGAATCATTTTCCTTTGGTTGTGTGGTATGTTTTTGATTCACTAAAAACAACTGGCTCCTATGAATAATTTGCTTATGAATTTGGCTACTCCAGTTACTCTGTACTGTATGTTTTTAATTCGCTAAAAAGAACTGTCTCACAAGATTCATTTGCTCATGACTGCTGACTACTTTGGTACTGTGTTTTTTAAACATACTTGTTCAAATGTATTAACTTTACAAGGTAAATGTGGTGCTTTTGCACACCAACCACTATGTAAATACTTAAAGTACCCATGAAATCAAAATGTAAGTTTTTTGGCTTTTAGTATGAATATGTTAGCCTTAAGGTTATCTATAAGCTAGTGTGCTCCAAAACAATAACAAAATTCATGTTTACAAGATATAAGCATTCAAAACTTACAGTCTCTCACTTCCGCCAATATGGATCAGCGATTTTGATGACATCACCCTGCACTTCAGCTTCTCATCAAACTTTCTGTCCAATCAAATGCTCTTTAGAATCCGAAGCGTCCCGTCCCCTGGTCTATAAATAGACGCTGAATCGGCTGAAATCGGTCACTTGTTTACAGAATTTGTATTTTCTGTACGGAAAATGGCACATAGTGCATTATATAGGGGATAGGGAACAATTCAGACAGTGTAAATATGCTTTACATTGCGGCAAAAGATGTCTGGTCACACGAACCGCCGCAGCGCTCACAGCCTGCTCCGGTCCAGAGACACGATAGCACAGAGCGGATCATATGCATGAATCGAGGCAGACCACAAAACATATTGGACTCGTTTGAATTGACGTCATCAGAGAAGGAATGCCATTCCAGAGTGGAAGTTAATGTTTAGATTTTGATTAAAGATTCCCAAGACAAACATTTTTTTCAGCAGATTAACTTGCACGGATTAATTGTTCACATCAAGACTAGCAATGTGCGCTAGTAAAATAAATAAAGTTGATTTTGATTTCATGCGAAAGTGATTTCCCTTTTGAAGTGGACTTTGAGCTTTGTAACTTTGCAGATCTTTTTTATGCTCAATCAGCAACATTACAGACTAACTAAAGTTGAAAAAGTGAAAAAGCATAATAGGACCCCTTTAAACATGCAGCTGAAGACTGCTTTGGTATTCAACATAAGAATGATGGAAAGCATCTTATGTATTGTTGTCATGCTTATTTAATGAAGATACAGTACCATTCAAAAGTTTGGGGTCAGTACTATTGTTATTAGTAGTTAATTAATATTTGTATTCATCAAGGATGCATTAAATTGATCAAAAGTGACAGACATTTATAAACTTTTGAAGTATGAATACTTCATTAAGTATCAAAATAATGTGATTTTTGAGATATTAAAAGCATCTTTGGGTCTCTCCACACACCAAACAGAACATTAGAGTCAATTAGCATTAACCCTATATACCCTATAACCCTATAGCAATAAAAACTGCAACTGTTAATGATCACAGGCTCTGCTGAGAGCCACGGCACGGCAGGAGACAGCCGTACTAATGCTGACGGCCTTTAATTTCCTCCCTGGACAATGGCTGTCACACTCTGGATGGGAGGGAAGAATGAGCTGGCACTGAAAGCACCCTCATACGCACGTCTGCTCTGCTTCTTGGCATTTCAATGAGAGTGTATACGCCTATGAGTGTGTGTGCTGGTGTGAAATAATGTGGGAGACAGTAAAAAACGAGCAAGCGAGGACTCCCTCAGAAGCAGAATACCGGGCATCCCCCTCCGCCCTTCCCTTTTCTCACATCCTCTCTGATTCTTCCTCTTTTCATCTTCAGTCGCTCCACTTCCCTACTGCGGCAAACGCTCGTCCCATTTCCATTCATCATGCATTCATTCATTTCCTCCGCTCTCATTCGTCTGTACTCCAAAGCAAGGCATCTTCAGGGTCCGCTGGGAACAGTGTTTAGAGATGAAGAAAAGCAAAACGCAACTCGGTTGATCAACATCTCAGGTAGATGTCTGTGTAATAGGTGTTATGTGAAAACCAGAGCCGACAGCTCTTTGTTTATACGCTAACGTGCCATAGGCTTCTTTTAATGAAGGCAGCTTGTGCTTGTCTACAGTCTCTCTAGGGTAAGAAGCTCATTATGGAGCACTAAACTTCCAGTCTCCTCCTTTAGCAGGGCGAATTGATGAATTGGAACTGCATAGCAAACATCAAGGTTACATGCTTACTGTTAACTGTTATCTGGGACTAGGAATTCCCACAAAAAACTGACAACTTGTATGATATACAGTAGCAAGGACGTTTTCCCTGAGCAAGCATCGTCTTCAAAATATTTGGATGAGAATTATAATTGGACAAGGATTATGACTGCTGGTCTCTTAGGAGTTGGTAGATACAAAGACAGACTTGTTCCCTTGAAGTCTACATTTTCCAGATTCTCCTCTGGGTAGAGATATATTCATAATTGGCCCTTAAAAGTTAAAAAAGTGAAACATTTCTTGACGTGGGTGGTATTGGGGGCTTAATTACATCCATAAAAGAATACCAATACATGTGTTTTAATCTTAAAGCATAAGCCTTATTAGGCTTTCTGTCAGTTTTAGTCCCTGTCATGATCAAAATGTGAGATTAATATTTTAGTTGGGTATGTTAGAACATTTTACTAATTTTGAGGTACCAGCAATTATAATTCTTGAGATATCATGCCCTAAAAACATGGCATCACTGACATTTTTTGGCTTGGAAATAATTATGGGGCTAAAAAATATTTAAAATCTGCAGGAAACTAGCCCATGGATTAATTACACAGCAACCAGAAAACTCCTAGCAAAAACTATTCAGAACACACTAGCAACCACACTGCATTGTGCTAACAACCATTTAGAAGCAGAACATTTTTGCAACCATATAGCAACAGCCTACCAACTACACACAACATCCTGGCATGGTGGTGACAAGTTTTGCACAGTTTTTAAAAGGGCATAGTAATAGTGATAACTAGCGCTGACAATTTAACATGCCAATTTAGTATGATAATTTAAAATGAAAAGTTATAGGTTGTTAAAATCATATGCTCTCCAAGGCTATATGTATTTAACCCCCCAAAATAAAAATTAAAAACAGTAATAATGTGAAATATCATTACAATTCACAATAACAGGTTTCTATTTTAATATATTTTAAAATAAAAAATTTTTATGTGATGGCAACAAATTTTCATCAGTCTTTACTCCAGTCTTCAGTGTCACATGATCCATCAGAAATAATTCTAATATGCTTTTTTCTGGATTCTCTGATGAATGCTCAAAAGAACAGCACCGATTTGAAACAAATACATTACAACATTACAAAAGTCATTATTGTCACTTTTGATCAATTTAAAGCATTTAATTAAATAAATGTCTTAATAAATAATTATTATATTTAATTATATTCATAGTTTATATATATATCTTTTTTAATTATCATCTATCTATCTATCTATCTATCTATATATATATATATATATATATATATTTCTTAATTTCTTGATAATTAATGATTAGTATTAATCATGACCCCTGATTTGTAAATTCTGTAATAAGAAATAATCCTACCACTGGAGCAATTCAGTCTTGAAGTACCATCTTGTTTTTGCAAGAACGCATGTCGAACTATGACACAACAAAATATTGTGCAATTAATCAGATTGAATTTTGAATTGACTGACAGCCCTACAGATAACCAGATCTCAAATCACTATAATAAAAAACTGCGATGAGTCTGCGTTCAGTGTTGACCCACCGGCTGGCTGTGTGCAGAACTCCACTGAGACCTCCTTCTTCTCCCTCTGCTCAAGGGGAAGCTGCCAGGGCATCTGATGGGGCCGGGCCACCACCCGTATCTTATACACCGTCATGGGCTTCAGGTTGTAGAAGTGGTATTTGTACCCTCCAGGCTTCACAACATCATACTCCACGTCATTCAGGAAGATCATGTGGCTGTAGTTGCTGTTGCTTGGCATCCAGGTGAGCTCAGCCGATACTTGCGTGATGTTCTCCACACGAAGGTAATAGGGCGCCACCACCACATCTTTCCCTACCAGCAGTGTGCAGCGCAGCGGATCGGAGAGCCCCCGCTCCGTCATGCTCTGGATGGAGATGCGGTGCGTACAGGAGGCCAGATTCAGCTTCTCGATCAAAGACTTGGTGCGGCCACCGAAGGGCACACTCATGCGTACCTCCTGATCCACCAGCACATTGTAGCCGCTGGTGGGCGTCCACCCGGGCAGCACCACCGGAGGGTCCCAGCTTATGATAACGCTCTTGGCCAGCTGCTTGATCAAGGTAATGCGGCGGGGGTAAGGCACGATGTCTTCTCCAATCTCGTCGATGTTCACGTCCAGCGTGCCTGTGCCATTGCTGCAGGGTCCCAGAAAGTCCATGCCCAGCCCCATGCTCATGCCCAAGCTGCTCACCCCGCTGCTGCTGCTGGTGCCCGTCCCGGTGCCCGAGCCCAGGGCATCCAGCTTCTCTGAGAGCAGCGTGCTGAGTGTACTCACGGCACTGCTGGGCATGGAGGCGGGGCTGTGGTTGAGGTAGGACGGTTCCTTGATGCGGTCCAAGAGAGGAACCGACGGGAGCTCCTCATCCTGGACAAAGTCCACAAAGTTGGAGGGAACGAGACCCTGCTGTCCGTCCAACATCTCACCTGGAGAACAGAAAAGGGTACCGAGTGATGAATAGGCGCATGAACAATTGCTGCTGAAAATTCAGCTTTGCCATCAAAGGAACTTAAAATTACATTTTAAAATATATTCAAATAGAAAACTGTTATTTTAAACTTTGATAATATTTTACAATATTACGATTTTACTGTATTTTAAATGAAATAAATGTGGCCTTGTTGAGCATAAGAGACTACTTTCAAAAATTGTAAAAAAAAAAAAAAAATCTGACTGATGCCAAACTTTTGAAGCTCTAAAGTAGTCCTATAATATGACATACCCTCATAGAAGCCGTCCTCATCCATGGTCCCATAAACATACAGGTACTTCCCAGCCACCAGGGGGAGCTCTGCTTCAGGATGCTCATTGGGGCCATCATAAGGGTTATAACTGCAGGGAGGACATGCTGAATTCAATTCAAGGACTTCTTTATTATTAATATTAAACCATACATTAAAAGGTATATTCTGGATTAAATAAAAAAAAAACTAAAGTAGAAGTCTAAATTTTTTAAATGTCAAAATAGTATTAGCACAAAATGCAGACATTGCTAGGCCATTTGTAGGTTGATTTTTGTTTTCTCTGAAAAGTTAAACACTGTAGCTCTGTCCTTGGTTTGTTCGAACATACCAACCAGCCTGATATAATGGGGTGAATCCCATTTGAAACAATTTTTCATTATTTTTGGGATACAATCTTGGAAGCCTATAGAGAAAGATGACTGGAGGGTCTAAAGGCAGAATGTGAAGCTCATATTTTTGGTGAACATTTTATGGGAATGCTTCAGTTTGATATTCAAACTGTAAAAGTATGTATGTGTCCTGTTCAGGTGGGACTACTTTTCTAGGCGGATGAAGTATTTGGTTATGTGGAAACAATGCTTTGCAGATGCTTACATCACAACCTTTTCTAGTATTTTTAAATGGATATCACACCCGTTTTACACAGTTTACATGATTTTACCAAAAATTGAATAGACTGGATATCATTTTGCAATTGCATCAAACCATCTCAAGCTAACACATACCGTATGATAATAATAAGTGCTATGATTATACTATCAAAACAGTGTGAAAGCACATTTTAAATGTTTATCTGCTGTGCTTGGTAGATGAGTCGAAATTCTTGTCTGTGGTAATTGACAGTGTGCACAGATGTTGTTGATATACTAAACTTGTACTTAAACCAGAGTATTTCTTAAAGGCAGACCTGATACTGTGACTACCGCTATTCTACACCTAATCATTACAGCTAATAGCATGATATAACAAATCATTATAGCTAATGACATGTTATAACCTATTATTACAGCAAACGTCCTATTGTAACATATTGTAACGTGTTACAACAGCTGTAGTGGATCCACTCACTTGTAGCGGGCAACACACAGTCGCACTTTGCCTGTGTATCTGGACTTAGACCTGGGGGACGAGCCTTGCTCTTTGTCCATCTAAAGGAGAGAGGAAAAGCGGATAGATGAGTTAATGGTCAGCTTTACTAGCTTACAGCATTGTTGTTGTGAAGCAGCATGCTAAGCTTCACCAGAACAGGGAGTTTAATGCTTTGTTTAGACAGATTTTTTGGCATAGCTGACACAAATCTGTTTAGTTTTTTGTAGTATGAACAGCAAACAAACCACATGAAATCCAATGTTTACAAACCTGATCCAAACCACATTCATATGTGCTTTGAAAACTGATTACATCTGATTTTCTAGTCTAATTGGTCAGATCGGATTTCAAAATATCCACTTTTTATAATTCCGGATGTGTCTTTTGAGATTGTGCTGATGTAGATACACTAGATATTGGTCACACTTCCTGAAGTGGATCATGTTTAATCAAACGGCAAAATGACACTGCACACTCAAACCTAAAGATCAGATTTGAAAACCAAATCGGATTTATGTGTAGTATGAACAACGCCTAAGAGAGTCAATGACAAATCAGTGGGTTATAAAACATAAGAATGAATGTTTTTCAAGTTTAGATTTTTGATAAATGTTTGGGCAAAAATGAAGTCTGCAATAACTGAAAGCAAAGTCCAGTGTGCAATCTGATAATGTGGGCGATTAAGCCAATAACACCAGCAGAGCACAGTCTGAGCAGACAGATTGGACTATTCACACCCACACACCCTCTCACACACACAGCCTGTCAATGTATACTGTAATTATTCTCATAATGGCCAAATCACTGTGGTACATGACACACTATTAGAATCTACTTTGCTCTCTTAGAATCTAGAATATATTAGTTAGAAAAAGAATCTATTCTATTCGACTATTTACAAACCTTTCAGTTTAATAGTTTAGTCTCACCCTGTTTTTATTTTTTAAATAATCTTTAAACTTTATAATACATTTAAGTAAAAAAATTAATTAACAAATATTTTAAAATAAATTTAAGTGAACATTTTTCAATGGATTCTTTTCACAGACTGTGATGATACATTTCCAGAGTTATTAACATTGTAAATCTAGTACAGTTTTTAATATTAAAATTTTTCCTTAAGTCATGTCTGAAGGGCGTTGTTAGGCATGACACAAATCGGAGTGCCTGCATCCCCATCAGCTGTGACTTATTCACAATACAGCAGGCCTTGAGGACTTTTTTGCTTACATACATTACCTTTAGATTAAAAAATTAATTAATTAATTAAAAACTGTTGTTAATAACTCTGGAAATGTATCACAGTCTGTGAAATGGTTTCCACACAAGAAAAATATTAAAACTAAAAATGTATGTATTGATTCATTAAAGTTTGTTAAATGCACATAGAACCAAAACCAAAGTCCAACACATTAACATTCTTGTGCTGGCTTGCAAGCCCTGGCATTTCCTTCAGATAATGCAAATATAATCGATTTTATTCTGTAGAACCTCAGTTCTTTTTATATATTTAATTTTTGCTTCAAAAGATTAAACCTCAAGACTAAAATCAAACTGTAAATGGTTAACATTAAAGGGGTCATGAACTGAGAAATCAAAATTCCCCTAATTTCTTGACATATAAGAGGTAATTTTACTATAAAAACATCCTGTAAGTTTCAGGACTCAAAACTTTCTTGTTAGTCCAAAAACAGCTTATATTGAAGCCAATCTGCCAAAACGACAGCTTGTGGAATGTTCTACTCTATAATCATGTGGCTAAACACCGTCTCCGCAGAAAAAGATCAACGCCTACTTCTACATCACTGCCTGTTTAGCCCTGCCCTCCGATTCGGGCATGTAGTGTAAATAACGAGAGAGGCAAACACAGGTCTATGCAGAAACCAATTGATAAAGATGGATTCAAAATGAAGAGCCTATTACTTCTAAATTATGTTTTTTGATGTAAAAATCTTAATTAAATTATAAGTGGACCTCAGAGAAATAATAAAAAAGGGCAGTTCGTGACCCCTTTAAAGGGGTCTGATTGATTGGTTTGTTTGTCATACTCACAGCAGTGGCGATGACGGGCCGCACCTCTGAGAGGAAGGCCCGCCGTGGGCTGGAGGGTGTGCTGCGTGACAGGAAGGTGGGTTTGACAGACAGGAGCTCTACCTTCTCCCCCTCAGTCATCTGCAGAGGCCGAATGAGCTCTGAGATCTTACTCATCGAATCCTCATTACCTTTACACACACACGCACACACACACACACACACACACACACACACACACACACACACACAAAGGTGACTGATTACTTCATTACTGTGTACGGTCCCATACTCCTCCCACCATCTCAGCACATCATCACTGCTGTTGATCTTATCAGTCTTCAGATTTTTCAGCATTAGACATTGTTTCATATTGCCTTATGGGAAGGGTAAAGGATGAAGGATGGTAAACTAAAGGTGAGCAAATATGAGTGAACTATAATCAATCAATACCTTATAAAGAAATTTGGAGAGGAAATATACACTACTGTTCAAAAGTTTGGGGTCAGTAAGATTTTCTTGTTTTTGAAAGAAGTCTCACCAAGGCTGCATTTATTTAATCAAAAATACAGAACAGCAATTGTGAAATATTATTACGATTTAAAATAATAGTTTTCCATTTTAATATACTGTAAAATGTCATTTATTTCTGTGATGACTGCTGAATTTTCATTACTCCCGTCTTCAGTGTCACATGATCCTTCAGAAATAATTCTAATATGCTGATTTGCTGCTCAATAAATATTTCTTATTCTAAGTTTTTGGTGGAAATTTATTTTATCATAAAGAGTTCAGAAGAAACAGCATTTATTTCAAATATAATTATATAAATATATTAAATATATGTTTTGCAACAATGTCAATGTTCTGTACTGATCAATTTAATGCATCCTTGCTAAATAAAAACTATTAATTTCTTTTAAAAAAGTTTAAACTGTAATCTATGTATCTGCATTAACAAAATGACAAAATAAAATAAAATAAATAAAGCAATAAATATCTGTGTGAGACAAAACAAATGAACACAATTGCACACAGAAGAAACATACTGCGGTAAAAAAATGTAATTTAGTTTTTATATTTATAACATACAGTATAGCCTAGTTAAGCAACATGACATGACCAAGAGAGTGAAGTTAACCAGAAAACAGCAATTGCAAATTTGACATTGATTTTATACAAGAGTTAATATACATTTTCATAAAATATTGTCAATGTTGACTGTTTTTGCTCGATTTGATTAACAAAAATAGTTCCAAACAAAGATCACAGCAGAACAGTCACGTATCTCTGAGCAACACACTGCGGTGTTTTGTAACTGAATTATTCACGTATTTGAATTAATTATTTGAGTCAATGATTCAGTGGCCTATTGATTAAGACACACACCTTCATTCTTGAATGAATCAGCCGTCTGAAAGAATTGTTTGAATGATTGGCTCAATTACTCACTCATTAAGACAGTGACTTGCTGCCACCTACTGGCGGTTTACTTTCATATTTAAAAATAGCTTATCTTTACATTTTTTCCAACATTTCAAATTTGTATATTTAAAAAAAAAAACTGATTTAAAACAACAAGTTCATAATATTATGTTATATTATAATTTTGCAGTGTAAAGGCATTAATGCTACATTTCAGCTTCATTAAACTGTCTGTGTAATTGCATCTAAATAGCCACTTTCTTCTGCAGTGGAAAGATCAGTTTTGTTAATACTAATTTCATTTGATTGCTAATAGCCCTATAGTGTCTTATTATATTAAGTGCAATTATAAAAAAAATGTAAGAATTCAATATGAAAGATGATTAAAAAAAAAAAAACGCCCACAAAATTCCTCTTTAAAAATAAATACATTTTAGTATGCAGTAACTTTAGTCATATAAAACTATTTCCCACCAATAAAATTGTGGCCAGTGAAAATGCTGAGTGGCTAGTAAATTTGGAAAACCACTAGCCACAGAGGCTGGTGAGCAAAAAATGTCAAGCCCTGCATATATATATATATGTGTATGTTTTGCTTTTTTGAAATACTGCATACAAATATATTGTTACATTGTTTACATACAGTAAAAATTATTCAGAAAATTGAAGTTAGCTCTGAAAACATTATTTGAATTTCTAATGCAATGACAAAGATTCCCAAAAGTTTCCAAATATTTTGAGGTTCTTGCATATTATATATCTAAGATCTAGTAAATTAATTTGAATGAATAAAATGTTAAAATGTCAAATATGGATTTTCACCACCACATAATGAAAAGAAACCATACCATGTTGCAATGTAACTCTGTTAAATATTTAAGGAAGTGTCAACACATGGCCTTCTTCAATATGCATACTGTACCTTTCCCGGAGGGGGCAGTGAGGCCGTTGAGGAGCTGGGAGAGGGTGAGGGGTTTGGTGGGTGAGCCGGGCGAGTCGCCCCCTGTCAGCTGACTGCTGCTCAGGATGTCTAACTTCCCAGCCTGCAACCTGAACTTCTCCAACTCTTTTGACAGCAGGTTAAACTGCTCACTCTGTGTCCGGCATTTTTCCTCCAATTCTCTCACTTTAGCCTGGAAAGAAAAAGACGGAGGAAAAGAAAAAAGAAAAGAGAATGTCTAGTATTAAAAACACACACAGGCCAATTTGGCTGGTCTGTGATAAAAGCATTGACATTTAAAACTGGTAACAGCTTTATTAATATCTGCACTTCACATTAACTAACCGATGAATGCTAATGAATAGAGCCTGCCAACTCTACCAACTGTGAATGTTGTAAACAACCTACAATACTACAAAAAATGCCTACATCTAAAAGGAGGTTTTTCCTACCAAAAATCGCATTGTGTTCTTAGTGCGAAGGAAACTTCTCAGCTTCAGACACCAACAGAATCAAACAAAGACAGGAGTCAATCTATGTTCAGCTGTTATTGTACATCAAATCTCTGTTTTGATCATGATGTTAGCGATGGGAAGTACTATTAAATGGAGGAGGGTACCACGCATGCCAAAATAACAGTAAAAGCTGATGATCATTTGACGAAACTCACATGTATACTTGTACATCAAAACTATAAACCACATTAGAGGATCATGCGAGTTTGCATTTTAACAAGTCAAAACTTTACACAAAACTGTAACTTGACCTGTTATACTTACAGTATGTCTTGTGTAACATGTTTATGCACAGTTACTGTACAAGTTCACATAAATGACTAAATATGGCTTTTTGGGCAAGGAAATTAAAGGAAGACATGTCACGTTCTATAATCCATCAGTCATGTTTGTTGTTGCTGATCTGATCTGCAAACGCACATATCCATGAGGCGCTAACAGGATTTAGCACAAGGCAGCACCCATGCATCGCAACACAGGAGGAACAGAAAGGATCAGGCAGTGAATGAGAAACTTTTACCACTGAGTTAAGAGAACAAACTGACTTTTGCAGCACTTTCATTTGTACTTTTTATAAAGTACATACATGCCCTCCACTACAGAGGCTGCCCTCATCTTCATTTATCTCCTGTTTAGCTTCTTTACTATCAAAAAATGCCTCCCAAGAGGAATGAGGAGACAACAGAACGCTTTCAAACAAATAAAAATAAACTACAATAATACAATAAAATAACAGTCGAAGACATTTTACTCTTTGTTTACTGAAGGTAGAGGTAATTCACTGACAACCTTTGTCTTTGTTTTTCATTAGATTAATGTCTATTGGGATGGCAACATGCTAAAAATAATACAATTGAAATGATAGTAACAAACAATTAATTTAAATATTAAAATATAATACAATTTTTAGATTTAATAGTTTTTATATGCATTTATTTAGTTTTTATTTAATTTATAGACTAATATAATTATTTAGAATTTTCCAAATACTAATTATCCATTTCATTTCATTTTAATTTAATAAAATGTATATCTTGTTATTAATAATTAAATTAAAACAAAATGATTTTTGATAATGTTCATTTTTTTATAACATTATCAAAAAAACAAACAAACAATAAAATAAAAATGCAAAAAAAGCAGTTGTTTGGATTTAAAGACAAGCAAAACGTGACCTGTTTTACTTTAAACATTTATAAAACACATAAATAACTTTAGTCAGGTACGTATAAAATGACTATGAAGACTGATGGTTTGTCCTAAAAAGGTTCAATAATTTGATCTATGGCGATATAGATCAAAGATATTGATCAAATGTTTACAGATCAATCATGGATGAGCGGTACAATAATTGACAGGACAGCTAAACGAGGTGATAGGAACTACCCCCAATGAATCACACGGGGAGGAGAGGCAGAACTTTGAGGAGAAGTAACTCGAAAATACCTGCATGCTGTCCAAGTGATTCTGTATATGCAAAAAAAAAAAAAGATAAAAAAAAGACCAGTAACATAGTGACAACAGATGTAAGGAACCAAACAAATCACAGTTGCACACATGAGCATTTCTTCAGTTTCAGAAGTCACAGAGACCCAACATGAGTACAGTCCCCATTTTCCCTTAATTGCCCATTAATATCAGCAATGAATGAAAAGCAGAAAGTAGAATAAGGTAAATAAATCATAAAATAGATGTACATTAGTTTAAAACACTCAACAATGGTCAGTAGGGCTGTCAAAATGACTGAAAAACTAAATTCGAATTTCCTACTTAAATATGATCAAAATTCGAATTATATTCGAATTTAAAAGGCATAATTTCAGTTAGGGGAAAAAAAAGCTTTTGGCTTCGCGCAAAATATTATGCACGTTTCTTCAAAGCGTAATAAAATAACACGACTATCTTTGAAAAAAAGTGCATAGTGTTTAAAATAATGTTTATAAACCATATATAATTAATAAAGTTGCTTAAACAATTAGAAAAAAACAGCACCATGCATGTATGTATAGTTTAATACAAAGGACCATAAACCAATCACAAAGAGTAGGCTACTTTCTTCATTTAAAAACATGAGATACAGTGGGATGGGGGAAAACACCATAACGTCTTTAGACATGTTTTTTAAAAGTTGAATTTACATAAATTTTACATGGCTTTCTAAACATGCCGCTCTCTTGTGCGAGACGCGAGTGCAACACTGATAGATGTCCCCCTAGAAAATGTGATAAATATGCATTCTGTGTGAACGGCTTGGTTTCAGTTTTGACGTAAACAACATCTTCTCCACACTGATGCTCTCGTTTTCCACAATATATTGAATGAACAACGTAGCAGCGCCGCATCTAGTGGGTTCAACTGGATAGGCTAACAAAAGCATTCAAATGCAATCAATGACACTTACATCGTCATCGCATCTCGTTCGCCACTGATAAGGCTGCCTGACGGCTGACGCAGACCTAAAATTCGAATGCAAAGTTTTTGCATTCGAATGTGGATTTTTTTTTTTTATTCGACAAATATTCGAAATTCTTTTTGATAGCCCTAATGGTCAGCAAGGATATTTACACAAGAACTTTTATTTATTTATTAAATTTGTCTGAATAACTCAAAATATCAAAATGGTGTAAGCTAAGATGTGACTCATATGGTAGCCAGATTTTTGGCTAATATGAAAAAATATACGATGACGCATGTGGAATGTGCTGTACTATCACAGTCAGCCAAGATACGATTTAAAATGCATGCTTATATGCACACTCACATACACATGCACTGACATTCATGAGTAGACATTGTTACTCACCTCTAACAGATGGACGGCACCTTCATGTTCCTTCTTAGCCTCAACTTGAGCCTATAAACAACACAAAAATAATATATAACGGCATTAATACCAAGTCAGTCATGGCATACTTAATAAAAGTCACAGCAAAAAATATTTCTACACGATCCTTGTGTATAAACGTTCTATTCCCAAGTTTGGTTGAATAGGTTTTAGGCAACAAGGACTGCAATGCATTGTAGGGTCATTCATTGTAACTTTCAGCAGCTGTGGAAAACAGCATTCAGTTCCACATGAACAGAGGAACATCTGTTTGAGTGTCAGCCTCTTCAGTATCACAACATGAGGGAACATTTCAGAAATATGCATGGAGATTCACCTTCAGAACAACAAAACTGGGTTCTTAATGTCTTGACTTCTTCTGATGAGCGTGTGTGTGTCATTTCTTCTGTTTATTCTCCTCTGTAATCACAGTGCTCCATTCAATAAAGACAGACAATAACACAAACGTTTCAGCGGGTGACAATGTTCACGTGTTCTGGAGAAAATGTCAGATTTGATCACCTGCTCTGCTGTTTCATTAGAGAGTAATTTACTCCGAGTGGTGAGACAGCGGCACTTTTCTCTTCACTCAAACGAGAAATGAGAGGAAAATTTCAGAGAGTTACCTACAATTGCTGAAACAGTTTTTCTTTAAACATCTCTCTTCATTAGGAGCACTTTGACAGCTGGATTTTATTTTAGGGTGTTTCTTCAATTTCAAGCATCTTTCCTGTCAGAGGGGTTGATTTTTTTTATTTTTTATTAAAACTTCTTTTTTATTATTATATGAAAGTCACATTACATTTTTACTATGCCTTCATCAATAATCTTTTCAAAATACCTTATGTGAAAAGTTTTTTTATTGTCCTAAAGCTAGACTTTCTATCTTAAATTATGAAAACCCATCATAAAAATGATAATTACATGTTTAATATATAATTTAAAATAAGAATGTAATTTCAATATTTCTGTGATTTTTTTAATTCAACTGTTCCACACAACCAACAATTTTGGCCCTAATAAGGTTTGTCAAATGATGCAAAAAGTTGGAATTTTTTATTTAATTGTATTTATTTAGCATACATATGATGCTATGAAATCATCCTTAGCAAAACAAAGTCATTTGTCAGTGTCATTTTAACAGTCATGTTAATGAAAATGTTTAAAATGATAAAAAATAAATAAACATATTTCAGACAGAGTCAAATAAATTAAAATTCACATAGTCCCTAGTTAAAAAAATAGCTATGACCAGTCCAAAATCACCTGACAAAACCACCAGCTGATTAATCATCTAAACCAGCTTGTACCAACCTGAAACCATGTAAAATCATCTATCCCCAGAATCGGGATATGGCCCTAAAAAACGGGATATGGCCCTAAAGGTTGCAATTAAATCTAATGTAAGCAGAGATAGGCATACTTTTATTATGTTACGAAATAGGGTAGTTAAAGAACTACGGGTAGCTAAAGCTAACTTCTTTCTGAATATAATAGAAAAAGCATGAGGCAATACTAAGCCTATTTGGAGACAGTTAAAAATATTAATGGGACATAATTCTAAATCACTTGAACGCGTTGTTGATGGAAAACTTCAGAATAAACCAGCTGAAGTAGCTGATGTTCTTAATAATTATTTTGTTGATTCAGTAGAGAATATCATGAAGTATATTACTCCTGAGTATAAGAACACTTTTTGTCAAGTTAAACAGACAGAACCAGCTTTCAACATAGTATCTATCACTGAGTCAGATGTGATGAGAGTGATTAGATCCCACAGGCCATCTCGAACTAAAAATGCCATTGGGATGAATACATGTATGTTGAAAGAGCTCTCAGAAATCAAGCGTAGCGTTAGTTCTGGCAGGTCACGTTCGTCAAGCTCGCATCAGCTGACTCTCAGCTGATCCCCATCTACCTATAGGAATACGACACCTATCTAAGCATTCATATATAAGGTCCCTCAGTATTATCAGCAGTTTTTGCATTGCTCAATAGCTAATTACCCTTCTCCATCCCCAACTCCTCCTCTGCCAGTCGGGATTCAGCCTCTGATTCTCCTTTGAATCAGACTAATTCTAAAATGTGTACATAAAATTATTGAACTTTAACAATATCTGCAATACATTTATGTTGGTTCTGTTCTGTTTACCCTGGGGGGTTATTGCTGCTCTCCCTGCTCTCATCCATGCTAGGCTGCATGGATGCGCAGGGAGTTCTTGCCCAGAACGGAACCATACCGCCAATCCAAACTGTATGCTAATTGTCAATCATATTTGATGATATAGCCAGATGTAGTCATAGATGGGGAGAGACTACAAGTCATCTCAGATTTTAAATATCTGGGTGTATATATTGATAGCAATCTTACTTTTAGATTGCATATCAAGAATGTTTGCAATAACATTCAGTTCAACTTGGCAAATTTTAGATATGCCCATAGCTGCATGTCAACTAAGGCTGCAAAGATGTTTATGCATTCAATGATCTTCTCACATATCACCTATTGTTTGACAACCTGGTCACAAGCAAGTAATACTTCTCTCACACCAATTCTCTCTCTATATAAACAAACTTTGAAAGTTTTAGATAAGAAATCCATACACCATCATCATTGTGATATTTAAAAAAAGTACAACATTTTAAGTTGGGAAAATTTGATTGTATATTCAGATCTTTGCCTTATGTATAAAATTAAACATGGACTGGCTCCTCCTGTATTGAGCCAGTTTGTAAACATAGCATCAAATGGTTACAGATTAATGAGAAGCGCAGTAAGAGGTGATTGCATAGTCCCTTTATTTAGTCAAAGACTGTTTTTGGTTAGGGCTGCTCATGAGTGGAACTCCATCCCAAATTACATTACAAATTTGAATACTTATGCCTCTTTTAAGTTTCACTTAAAGAAGTGGTTAATTGAGAATCAGTATTGCCAACATTAATTTTACAAACTAAATTCTACTGCCTTCTTGTCTTGTCTGTTTTACTAGTTGAGATTTTTATGCTACATACATGAGGTTGTTTGGTTGAGTACTGATTGAATGATTAATGCTACTGTTACTTGTCTGTATGCTTACATTGTCTTTGTCTGCATATTGATATTATGGATTTAGTGATACATTGGTTATTTTGTCTGACAGCTGGATTGTGTATGTGTTTGAGTGAGCTGGTATTGATCTGTTGGTTCAAGGTATAGTATAATTTTTAAGCGGATGGTAATTTTTTTTAGGAATGGTGTAAATTTTATATGTATTTTGAAGCATGTATTTATTATGTATTGATTAACTGTTTTATATTTTTAGGGTTACAATTTTATGATCTGGGTAATTCTGGCACATTGTACATTTATTGATGTGCATTGTCCCTGTCAAATAAACCTGAAAAAAAAAATCTGGTCTTAATCAGAATCTGGTTTGTTTAAATAGAGCAAAAGCCTTAAGTATGAAACAAGGTCTTCTACACTCTACAGCATGTGCATGAGCTCCATCCTAAGTTTTTTTGTGGATGGAAACCCTGATCTCTCACCTTCTGCAGAAGGTCAATCTCCTGCTGCTTGGCACTGAGGACGGCCAAGGCTTGTTCATGCTCTAATTCTAGCTGCTGCCTCCTCTCTGCAGCCTCTCGCATATGCTGGGAAAGAGAGAAGAGAGAGCAGGAGGTAAGAGGAAACTCAGCAAAGGAGGAACACAGACAGAATGAGAGCAACCATCAATCAGGGATAGTTCATCCAAAATAGAAAACTCAGTTGTCATTTTCTCACCATCATGATGACTTACTTGCTTGAGAGGAACACAAAAGGAGATATTAAGAAGAATGTCCAAGCTGCTTTTTTCCCCATGCAATTAAAGCAGATGGGATCAGGGACAGCTGCGGTAACCACTGACTTTCATTGTAAAACAGCAGCTTGGACATGATGTTAGATAACTATCTTTGTGTTGCACGCAAGAATGTCAAAGTATGGATTTGGAACAGGGTCAGTAAATGATAACAACATATTTGATTTTAGGTTAAATCATTTCTTTTAAAATCTTTTTAGGTCACACTGAAACACTTTTAGATTTGGTTAAAGTCCCTGCACTGATAGACCCTCTTTTTATATCAGCTTATAAAAGATCATCAGTCTCCAGGAGCACCAGAGACAAAAATCCCTTCTAATCCTGGAATATCTGATGTAAACGCTAAGATTTCTTTCTTACCTGACCAAATCGACTCAGAATTAGGGGCCATTCACACTGAACGCATTGCACTGCACTGCTTTTTCATTGTTTTTCTATGTAAACATGCACTTGACCACTGCGCTTATGCATTGTCCAGCAAATGACATCCATCTAAAACCTAAAAGAAGTTAAACGGTTTAAAACGTGTCTCTAGATGTTGTAGGGTTTTTTATTCCCCTGCCCCCGTCTCACATTTTTTAAAGTAAAATCGCATTGTGTGAACGGCCCCTTAATGTGTTAACACCTTCAGAATACGGACACTTATTTGTCCTCTAATGAGCTAAAAAAAATGTTTAAGGGACAGTACATCCAAAGATGATTCTATAAAGTCATTTGAAACCCATATGCTGATTCTTTAAATGATTTTCAGTGAATTGAACTAAGTCAGGGTAGCACTATTTTTTATGTTTAAAAGGAATCAAATTTAGGCTGTAAGGGACAGTACAATGCGTTCAAAGGATTGTTTAACAAATGATTGACTGTGCAACTTGAAGTAGACAAAAACTCTATAGAACAGTTTTTATAGTTGTGAAAATTATTACCTTTATACAGTATTTATAGTCATTGTAAAGACTGTAAGTCTATCCCTCACAGCCTTGTGTTAAATTCCGTCTGTTCATCAAACAAAGTTATTGCATGACTTTAGGAGAGTTGGAATGTAGACATAGTCACTACAGACTGTTGTTGCATGGTTTTGAGCTGCACTTCAGTAATTTTCCACTGGAAAAATAACAGCATATGGTTTTGAAATGACATGAAGGTGAGTAAATAATGAAAGAATCTTCATTTTTGGGTGAACTTTCCCTTTAAGCACTGAAAACAACAGCAAAATGTTGTAAATCAAGCTTGTGTCATTTGCTTCACCCCTTCAGGTAAAGCAAAAACAGAAGTGAAGCATTATGTCAATCAGCCAGACTAAGCACAGCCATGGAGCTTCGCATGATCAATAAAGGGCTTAAGGGTCACAGCTCTGTACATGAAAGGGTGTGTGCAAACAACACAGCATGTTCGATCAGCGCCGATTACTGCCCAACAACATCCCCAGAAGCTCTTCTGACCTGTTAAAAGTACACGGTGACAAAACCTAGCAATTTTCTTTCCATTTGTGACATGTGAGGTTACAGGGGATAAAGGGAAAGAAGGGATTTTCCATGCTGCTATGAAAGAGGAGTGCAGGGAAGAGGAAGGTTAGAATAATCTAACCTTCAGAGGACAAATAAACTGTACTGTGTGTGAAATATATTATGGTTATCTGATCTATTTATGTATTTCTCAGTACTTCTTTACTCAAGTACTTATTTATTAAATAGCTTAATCAATTTAACATACATGAATATTTTGTCAATTGATTTATTTACTTATTTATTTATTCATTCAGTAATTCATTCATTTGTGAACATTTACGTATTTTTTATTTATTAATTTTTTTTATTTTTGCTGAACAGCTGTTATAAAACTTTTTTTTTAAATGAAGATGCATTAATATTATGTTTTAAGTTAAATATTTAATGGAAAATAATCCAGTCATAACTGCACAAAAAAAAAAACCTTCAAGATCATATAATGATCACCCCGTTGCAGTTTATTTTGCAATAATAAATCATCTGCATTCAAACTAGACAATATGACCACAGAATAAAAATGAAACATCTAAACCACTAAAATAATGTGATACTACCAGTTCACTTTTTTTTTTTAAATAAAGACTGATCGTTTCAACATATTTCACACTTTGTACATTCAGCAAAACTGTCACCTCATAACAAATAAAAAAAACAGCATATTTTAAGAATATTAACAGCATGTGTATCTCACATTCAAAAGAAGAGCCGAGTTAGTTTTTGTCAGGGGAGGGTGTAATTGTGCATAACTGTTGTGTCATGCACAAACGCATTCAGCAGTGCCTCAGCCGGCCGACCATTCAGATCACATACAGCATCCAGATCAGCTGTTAGTACTCAGTCAAAAGGTCCACATTCAGTTAGTGCTGGCTTCTGTAAAGTCTTTAGATATACCTGATGAATGAAAAATATGGAGGGAGGCAGGGAGAGGGGAGGGGCAGGAGAGGGTTAGACGTTAGGGGAGGGGTAGGGCGCTCCAGGACTCCTAGTCGATCACAGATCCACACTTTGAGGGTGCACGACAGCTCTAAAACCATAAAAGAGTACAAGGCGAGTAAAAGAGGTGAAAACACAGATGAAAGTGGAGGTCATGATATAAATCGTTATACATTGCCTGCCGGATTTCCTGAAACATCTGTCATGAGCTTGGATACTGACATAGTTCACACTAAGATAAAGGACTAACCTTTTCACTTTGCCATCACACATTTTGACTCAGTCAACATGAAAGCTAATCAGGCAACCAGTCAAGAAAATTTCCATCTCGTAATTTCTACTTTATTTTGTACTCCAAATTGATAAAAAAAAAAAAACTTGTGATTTTAGGTTGGAATGACTTGATATGGTGAATCTCACAAAATATAATATATCCAATATAAAGAAAAAATATTATTATATTTTCCATAATGAAAATGAAGCCTATTTTATGGCCATAAAGAGTTTTTACATAAATAGTTGTGACATTATTTTTTATGACTATTATGCACAGATTAAATTCTTATTACAGTAATGTAAAAAAGGTAATTTTCAATACTGTAATTATTTAGTTGTATTATTAAGGAAATATTTACACATCACTGTATAAAAGTATTTGTTGTAAAGATGTAATTTACAGTGCTTTGCAAAAGTATTCAAGTTTTTTCATGTTATGTTATGTTCCTGCCTTATGTAAAACTGCTTTAAATTACTTTTTTTCCCATATCAATCTACACTCCATACACCATATAGACAAAGCAAAAACAGAATTGTCACAACCTCGAAAATTTATTAAAAATAAAAAACTGAAATAAGTACATTACATAAGTATTCATACCCTTAACTAAATATTTAGCTGAAACACCTTTACAGCCTCAAGTCTTTTTTGTTTGATGCGACAAAATTTGCTCATCTGCATTTGACAATTATTTGCCATTCTTCTGGCACTGTATGTTAGATAGATAGATAGATAGATAGATAGATAGATAGATAGATAGATAGATAGATAGATAGACAGACAGACCTGCACCTCCATTAATATTGGCACCCTTGGTAAATATGAGAAAAGGCGGCTGTTGAAATAAATCTGCATTATTATTATTTTTTAAATCTTTTATTCAAAAAATTCACAAAAACTTTCATTGAAGTAAAACAACTGAAAGTGAGGTGAAAATCTCATTATGAAATAAATGTTTTCTCCAATGTATGTTGGCCACAATTATTGGCACCCCTAGAAATTCTGATGAGTAAAATATCTCTTAAGTATATTCCCATTCATATTTACATTTTTTAGCTAACCAGGGTGACTATAGAGCATGAAATTGTCCAGCCATGACTTCCTGTTGCACAGAACTATAAATATGAGGAACACATAGGCCAAATTCCTTTAATCATCCATCACAAGGAGTAAAACCAAAAAATATAGTTCTGGTGTGCAGAACAAGATTGTTGAGCTTCACAAAATAGAAAGTGGCTGTAAGAAAAGAGCTAAATCATTGAAAATCCCCATTTCCACCATCAGGGCAATAATTAAGAAGTTCCAATCAGCTAAAGATGTTACGAATCTGCCTGGAAGAGGATGTGTCTATATCGTCCTAATGAGGAGGAGAGTTTGAGTGACCAAAGACTCTCCAAGGATCACAGCTGGAGAATTGCAGAGATTAGTTGAGTCTTGGGGTCAGAAAGTCAAAAAAAATAAAATCAAACAGCCCCTACATCCCCACATGTTGTTCGGGAGGGTTTCAAGAAAAATTCTCCTCACTCATCCAAAAACAAACTCCAGCATATTCAGTTGTAAGACATGACTGGAACTTCAAATGACACTGGCTTCTATTGTCAGATAAAACTAAAAAAAGAGCTTTTTGGCAGCAAACCCACCAGACGGGTTTAGTACAAACAGGGATAAAAAGTACCCCAGGCCGTCCCAGTCCTCTGACCTGAACCCTATTGAAAATGAGTGGGGTGAACTGAAGAGAAGAAGCACCAATATGGAGCGGTGAATCTGAAGGATCTAGAGAGATTCTGAATGAAGGAATGGTCTCTGGTCTCTTATCAGGTGTTCTCCAAACTCTTCAGGCATTATAGGAGAAAGCTGTTATCTTGGGAAAAGGACGTTGCAATAATTGGGTGCCAATAAATGTGGCCAACGTGAACTAGAGAAAGCATTTATTTCACAATGAGATTTTCTCCCCACTTTCAATTGATTTACTTCATTGATAGGTTAGAATTTTGTGAACTTTTTGAATGAAAGATCAAAAGGATAAACAATGCAGATTTATTTTCACAGCTGTCTTTGCTCATATTTACCAAGGGTGCCAATATTAGTGGAGGGCACTGTAGATAGAAAGATGTTACTGTAATACTTTATGTAACTGTAATGAAAATAACCTTACAATGCAAACTGAAGAACTACAGAAGAAACTGTCCAAACGTAGGCTTCATTTTCTTTTTCCATAACTTCTTTTTCTTTTGATTATGTGTTTTACACTGACACATCTGGCGGGTTCTCACCTTCAGCACCTGCTCTAGGTTCTCCAGTTTGCCTTGGAGCTCAGTCCTCTCCAACAGAGCGCAATCTCTCTCCACTGTCACAGTGTACAGAGCCTCCTGCAGCTGTTCATACTCATTTTTCACCTGATAAAGAGAGAGAGAGAGAAAGAGGCAGAGATTAATCGAGAGTGTCTTACACAGTTTGTCCTCCGACCTCTGTTAGAAAGATGAAAGGTCATTCTATCCTCCCAAAAAACATACATCAGAGCCATGGCCGATTGGTTTGCGCACATGTTTGACACACTGGTACTCATGCAAATGACACATTTCAAAGTCCCGTTCTCCCATCATTCCCTGTTCTCTGTCCACATTAAAAAAAAAAAAAATGAAGTGTGATTTTATTGCATTAATGTCACAAGGATAAAACTGAGTTAAAAGTTTAACTATTAAGGTGAGAGTTGAAACCAGTAGTTATAAGTGTTAAACTGTCTGTGTTGGTTGTCTTTGGATCTGTTTGAAATCATGTATTAATAAGACCATCTGGACCCACGTGGCCACAAGCCTAATAGATGAAACTATAAGCATGCTTTCATAAACAGCAGGGTCTGAGAGGGCAGCACTGTTACCTATAAGAGGTTTCCCCAAAGGATTCAATGCTATTAAATACTCTGATCGATTGAAAATGACATACTCTGTTTGTCTTTATCCACTGATATGTGATATACGGAGTATGTGTAGTCAGCACTGAGCTCTGGGTTGAGAGTCGTGTTTTTAGAGAGCGAGAGCAGAGGGGTTGATGTCCTGTATCGATCGCAGCGTCAGTCATGATAAAAAGCTGAGCTGTCGGAGACAGAGGCAGTACTCACACTCCACGCCTGTCCAGTCTGACACTCATCTCTTATCTGCAACCTGACCTGAAGTGAACACCCACTGCAACAGCAATTACAGCTGAATAGGCTTGTTCTAGAGGAAATATGTTTGACCTATTACACTTGTATTGTTGATTCTTATGACATTCAACCGGCATGTTGTTGGTGATGGTGGTGTTGAGCAAATGACCTTCATGTACAAATTAAAGAGAACATTTCATCAAAATTGACCATACTTCCTTTTAATAAATGTTTTTTTTTAAATGTGACATTATGATTGTCAGGATCATGGACTGTCTGTGTCATGTTTTGCCCCTGTTTCTGTTCCCTTATTTGGTCATGTTCCTGTCCTTGTTTTGTTAGTTAGTTTGATCAGTCATCCCATACACCTGTGTTTCCCCAATCATCCCCTGTATTTAAGTCCTAGTCTGTCTCGGTCGGTTCTACTTGTTATGTTCATGTCTTTCCTGCCGTTCCCAGTGTTGGATGTACCCTGTGTTTCTTGGATTAAAGACAGTTTAGTTTATTCCTCGTCTCCATCGTTCCTCGCCATCACAGATTGTGACAATAATGTTGGAATAAAAAATGTTTTTATAATCGTATGTGAAAATTCAATAACTTTCTCCACCTTTGAAACAATTTCTTCTGCCAATGCCAAGGCCATGAGGGCAGGTAAAAAAAATTATTTAATCATTTCATGATTCAGCTATATCTAATCAAAGTCCTGGTTTGTTATTTTCAGCTTTACATATCATGCTGTTTAAGGCACTGTGCACCCTGTTTATGAGGCAGTCTAATTTACATTGCAAAAATTAGCATACTTTTAAGGGAACATTCATTCTAAAGTGCAAGGGAAAACTACAGAGACACAGATTAAGCCTGGTCCTAAATGAAAGGATTTTAAATGGAGAAAACCAATTTACTCAGTAATTCAGTTGACGTTTTATGTGCACTTAGGAACACATAAATATGTTTTAGTATCACTGAGATACCATTATAGTTTTTAATTAATATTTTGAAGTAATTTTTAATTTTTGTTTTCTGTTTTCATTTTAATTAAGAATTTTTATAAATAGTTTAAATTTCATAATTGTTTTGTCAATTTTATTATTGTCTTTTAATGTGTCTATGGTTTTTATTAAAAAAATAAAATGCATTTTAAATGCAATTTCTTAAATCAGTTATCTTTATCAGGGTATTACATAAATAAAATAAAATGAAATATAAAATACATTTTAACCTCAATGTTCTAAATCAGTAGTCTTTATCAGGGAACCATTACTATTTGATCACAATTATTTTTGTAATAAATATTACAAGATAGAATGGGTAGGTATTAAGAAATAGTGAAAGCACTCTTTTCTCACTTACATTTTTATAAAAGAATCCGCAGTATGCAGTTAAGTTAAGTGCGCATGGAAGAGATGCTTTTGTCAGGGACTCGGCTGTCTGGACAAGGTTAGGAAGATCATTCCACCAGCAAGGAACAACTTTTAATGGCTTTGCGGTGTAAGCTTCATACCAAAAAATTTTATAATATGCATGTTATTATAGGCCAGGTGTGAAATACAACGGTTAATTCTCTGGCAACCTCTGCCTGCCTGCCAAAGGGTCAAAACATTGAAGGCACTCATCTATAATGGTCCTCCTCTGCTATCCAGTAATGCTGCCTGAGCCACAAACAGACTGGATAGACACAAGTTGTGTAGATGGAGCAGCTGCCATCTTGATGACTGCCATTCTGTGCGCTGGGACAGAGCTGTAGATTCAATGATGTCTCACTCTGAAACAGCTATTTGAGATGGAGGGGGAGGAGTGGGGGGTAAACTCACAATAAGTGATGCATGAAGGACCATTCTTTTCAAGCAAGAGCAGGCTCACATGACTCAGACGTCACACCATTACAGCTCTCAGTTTAGATTCGTAACATAAGCTGTTTGTGTATGCTATAGCCCCAATGTTGGCCAATATATTAAGCCTTATTGAATCTCTGCAGGCTGTACATACACTACAGTATATGTCAAAATCTTTTAAAAATATACATTAAACCAGTTCTAACAATTGTGATCTTAATTTTTGTTGGTTGTGTCATTTGATTGTAAATATTTTGCAGCTAAGTATATTATATTGCGGCAGAGCGGAAGCTATATATACAAAATAATAATTAAAATGTCAAACTACTTCGAATTTTCTTTTCATTTGTTTATTTTCAGTATCACCCTGGAATTTTTTATTTTACACCTCCCAAACAATATCAAAATGAAGTTTAATGCAGAAGTTAAATTTGATTAGAAGATGTATATTAAAGTCACTCTATGTATGAACTGCAATTTTAATGTGTTTTAAATTAGTAGACAGGAAAGTAAAATTTAGCCTCCCTGCTTCCACTATTCTGGGAAGGTTTTCCGCTAGACGTTGAAACACAGCTGCGGGGATTTACTGTTATTTCCTCCCAAGTTCTCCTATGAGTTGTACTCCTGTATAAGAAGTTTCTTACTTCTGTTAAACACCAAGGAAGATATTTTGAAGAATGCTGGTAACCAAATATTAGACGGTAGCCATTGACTTCCATAGTAAATTTTCCATTCTATGGAAGTCAATGGCTACCGTCATTGTCCATGTGACATCAGTGGTTCAACTTTAATGGTACTCTTGTGAACGTGCGTCGAAGACTGAGACGGAAGAGTAGAAATTGTTGAATAAAGTCGTTATTTTTGTTTTCTTTGGGCACAAAAGGTATTCTCGTAGCTTCATAACTTTGAACCACTGTTGTCACATGGATTATTTTAATGATGTCCTTACTACCTTTCTGGGCCTTGAACATGTCAGTTGTGTTGCTGTCTATGCAGGATCAGAAAGCTCTCGGATTTAATAAAAAATATCTTAATTTGTGTTCTGAAAATGAACGAAGGTCTTACGGGTTTGGAATGATACGAGGGCGAGTAATTAATGACAGAATTTTCCTTTTCGGGTGAAATATCACCTTAAGCAAGACAAATGCATACAGTATGTTGCTAGAACTCAAACCATAAACTATGGAAAGTGTTATACTTTATTACTTATAAATATCCCACGTATAGACCTCCTGATGATTTTGAATTACTTTATGCTTTCTTTATTTCTTTATGCTGTCTTTTCTTTCCCTCCCTTTTTCTTTCCTCTGTATTGCTATCGGCCTCAAAGGTACTGCATTCATAAATGACTAATGAGGGAGTAGGGATCCTGTTTTGCAACAGCGTTTGACAACACACCTACTTGGACGTTTCGGACACGGCCTACCTTCAAACAGCTCAGCAGGAGGACACTGCTCTGCCAGGATGGGATGCCAAGATGTGCCTCCAACTAAACACTGACACAGACATGACTAAAAGATGAACTATAAGCAGGCTATAGGGGTGCTGATGCTAGCAGGCATAAATCTGAGATAACAGATCACACTTGCAGATGTGAGACAGAACTAGGGGAGATCAGAAAAATGCACATCCAAGACTAAACTAGATGATTATAGTGCACAGGTGCAGCATCGGAAGACATAAGCAGCGGAGCCCAATGAATACATGCTACTGTATTAAATGATTATAGCAGACCATTTAACAGAAAATTAATAAATAAATATAGTTCAGCATAAATAAGTCTGGAATACTTAAACATCATTTACTGTTGTTGAAAGAAGTCCCTTATATCTGACCATTCATAATAACTGTTTTATATTTGAATATATATATATATATATATATATATACCCACAAAATTATTCTAATATGCTGATTTGCTGCTCATAAAACATTTTTTATTATTATCAATGTTCAAAATAGTTTTGCTGCTTAATATTTTTGTGGAAACCATGATACACTACCATTTAAAGGTTTGGGATAAAATAAATTGAAATATAACAAAAAGAAGAAACAAAAAGGATGTATGAAATTAATCAAAAGTGACAGTAAGAGCGTTTATAATGTTATAACATTTTTATATTACAAATAAATACTGTTCTTTTAAACAGTATCATCAAATTATCATAATTTCCACAAAAATATTAAGCTGTTTCACATATTTAAATGTAAATAAATGCTGTTGTTTAAATGTTCTATTCATCAAAGAATAATGAAAGAAATGATCATAATTTCCACAAAAATATGAAGCTGTTTTCATATATTCACATGTAAATAAATGCTGTTGTTTAAATTTTCTTTTCATCAAAGAACGATGAAAAAAGCATCATGATTTCCA